ACAAACAAGAAAAGGCAAATGCATTAAAAACGCTGCGCCTTGGATCTGGGGTCAAGATCAGCAACAGGCATTCGAAGGCTATAATTGAAAAATTAACCTCTGCACCTGTTCTTATTATGCTGATTTTTCCCAGCCATTTATTGTCAATATAGACGCCAGTGGTCCTTTGGTTTAGGAACTATCAATATAACCAGAAAGTAGATGGCATGGAACGAGTTGTGGCCTATGCAGATAATAACCCTTTTTAACATACCCGTTTTCCACAATCCTGCCAAGCTCGATGCTCAATAATCATCGTTGGTTAGCCTGCTCTTTCTGCTTATAAACTTTACCGTTCCAAAATATCGCTCTGGGTAAACACAATATTGAAAATGCTTGATATTCTTGTCCAGATTACCAGGTGTTACCCGAATTGTTGATGAATGAAAAACAGAATTTTCTCATCCTGACATTCTTAAAAAGCTTTATTCAAAAGCTGCTTTGCTGATGTTAGGGGAGCTTCCTGTCATTGAGTGTGTTTCTGTTTCTCAACAAGTACTGAACAAAAATCCAAGTGATAATTTTTGCATTTTCAGGTTACCTATCTTAGTTGACATTGATTGGCATGTTGAGCAGTCAAAAGGATAGTTCTATTTCTAGAGTCCTTGATATTGTAAAGGCCGGTCATAAGTTGACAAGTCGCCAGAACGCCTTAGAACCTGAACTTGTAAGAACAGTACTTACGGGAATGGCCTTCTTTGTTTGTCAAAGATGACATTGTGTATAGAAATGGTCTTGTTTATGGACAAACCCTGTTATACAGCTTCTTGTTCCAAGTGTTTTTAATGACATCATATTCTCTGGACTTCATGGGATCGAACCTCATCTGTAATAAAATCTAGCTTCTTTTGGCCAGGGTTAGATAATTTTGTTGATCAGCGTGTGTGCGGATGTCCAAGGTGTATTTGTCGCAAGTCATCTGCTGGTTGTTCTGTTCCTCTTGTGTCTGTAGAGTCCTCATATCCCCTTGAACTTGTATGCATGGACTATCTCTCTCTAGAAATGTCATCAGGTGGATATGAGAATATCCTTGTAATAACAGACCACTTCACCAGGTTTTGCCACAGGCAATTCCCACACGTAATCAGACCGCACATACAACTGCTAAAGTCCTATTTGAGCAGTTTTGTATGTCATTACGGTTTCCCAGCCGCTTGCACAGCGACCAGGGCCCGTAACTTTTGAAAGTGCCGTCATACAGGAACTGTGCAAGTTGGCCATTGTTGGAGAAAAGCAGAACCACGCCGTACCATCCGCAAGGAAAACGGAATGCGCCGAGCGATTTAACCAGACACTTTTTAACATGCTCGGCACCTTGGAAGATGACCAAAAGGTTTAAATTGGAAGGCCCATGTACCTGCCCTCGTCCACGCGTACAATTCAACGCGTCACGAGAGTACAGGGCTCACACCCCATTACCTTATGTTTGGACGACATCCTCGTTTAGCTATTGATGCCTTTTTGGGGATCGAACCGGATGCTGTTGGAAGATCTTCTAGCCACTCCAATTATGTCCGAGACTTACAAAAAAGGCTTGACTTCGCCTACAAGGTCGCTTCTCGAGAATCTAAGAAACAAGCCCGTCGTCACAAAAGACGTTACGATCTTAAGGTTCGTGAAGCAACACTTAAGCCAGGTGATCGTGTCCTTGTGAGGAATGTTGGCTTAAAGGGTAAAAAAAATAAACTTGCTGATAAGTGGGGAAAGGATATTTATCTTGTTATAGACCAAGTAAATGACGATATCCCAGTCTTTACTGTTAAGAAGGAACACGGTCGAGATCCTCCAAGAACGGTCTATAGAAATTTACTCCTTCCATTTCTAGGACTCCCACTTAACAGTCCAAAAGAGAATATTTCCTCCATGAGTGTTGCAATCCCCTTAACAGGTCTGTGAGTTCATCAAATATTCCAAAATCAGATTTTGCCCTCTTTGAGTTCTTCCACTGAGAAGTATGTTATTCCACAGCGAAGGAAGTCTTTCTTTGAATCCCTGTGCAGAACCATTTTATCCAAATCGTCCTAAACCCGTTCCAAGAGAAAACCTGCATGGCTGTCATCCACTGATTGGATAACTTAATTTTATTACTGAAATTAAGTTATAACACTGTTTGATATATGTTTGGTGTTGATGTTTATACAGTTTTATTATCTGTTTATTTTATTTTTACAGGTAATTCTTTCTGCTGATAAAATATGAACATATTTGATGAATTTATGTTTTCTATTATTTCCAGGTACGCATGAGGACAGGTGTGACTGTATATTATAGTTATCCTTATATAGATGTACTTTGAAATAATCAACAGTGTTCTGTGTGTTTTTTTTAGATGAGCAGTTCTCGGATTACACTAGAAAGAATCTTTGAATTCTTATGCGCAGATAATTGCTGATGTTGCTTTCAAACATTTTGTGCCACTATAATTCGTTATAGTTTAATGTTTGTCGTAATGGAACATTAAGAAATAATCAAAAGATTGGATTATAATAAGCAATTATGATCTAATCTCAATGATTTCATGAGTATTTTAGGCCTAATACTCAAACTGAATTTGTCTTGATGTCGAGAGAGCAAGGTGGTTCATTTACTATTCGTAACTGTAGTATTATTACCAGTTACATAGTAATGTAGTAATTTAAGTAGTTTTTACGACAGATATAGTACTTCTGAAGTAGTGCCATGGATACAGCTGCTTAGTACGCAGTTGTGTGTTTGAAATGTCGGGGCGACATTTTTCCTGTGAGGGGAAGGATGTCACAGGTTCATATACGTAGTACGGTACATGTTTATATGTGTTATTGGTTGTGCTATTAAATGTCCTATAGCTTTAATTTTCATCATACTTTTCATTCATCCCCATATTGATCATATACTAACCACCATTACGGGCCTCTCTATCTAACTTTCTACTTCATTGATTCACTACACTACGCATGCGCACTATTTTGTAAGATTTTGATGGCGAGAGCCGCGATTTTCGAATGCTAATAAAATTATTTGAAAGCGCATAATTTGTGTATTTACAGACCCTCTGTCCAGGTCCCAAGTCTGTCCAGGTCCCAAGTACTTTAACCCACAGCGTCCATCAGAAACCCCCTTATCTTTTGGACAGCGACATAAACATAATAGGACTTAAAATATAGATATAAAATACTTGGTTGTTTGGGAATTAAACATCATAGGTGCGGCTTAAATTTAAATATAAGAGACTTGGTTGTTTGGCATGTAAACATTTTAATTCCGGCTTAAATATAAATATAACGTTCTCAGTTGTTAAGCATGTAAACATTATAAGTCCGGCTTAAATTTAAATATAACATACTTGGTTGTTTGGCATGTAAACATTATACGTCCTGCTTAAATTTAAATATAGCATACTTGGTTGTTTGACATGTAAACATTATACGTCCGGCTTAAATTTAAATATATCATACTTGGTTGTTTGACATGTAAACACCATAGGTGAGACTTGAAATATAGATATAACATACTTGGTTGTTTGTCATGTAAACATTACAGTTGCGGCTTGAAATATTGATAAAACAGACTTGGTGTTTTGGATATAATGTATAGATATAACAGACTTGGTTACTAGTATTTGGGATGAAAATATAACAGGTGCGACTTGAGATTTTAAAATATTGGGTCTGGTTGTTTGGAATGTAAACAATTCAGACGCGACACGAGTTGTAAATTGAAGAGGCTAGATGGTTTGGGTGTGAATTTGACAGGTACATGTATTGATTACAGTTCATCTGCTCGAAATGTTAGTAGGAATGGGACCTTATGTGCTCGGAATGGCCAAAGTACCATTCCAATGCATGTAATTCCAAAACCTTTTACAATGACAGTTCATCCGTTCCTCAGCATTATTTAAAAAATATTTGACATACATGTATATTGAAAAAAAAACCTTGGGTTCATTGCTCCTATTCATATAAATCGAGCTCGAACTATACTGTTGTCAGTAATCGTCATGAAAAATCACGATATTCCAGAATTTTCCAGATTTTACTTAAGTTTATATCTCAAAAATTCAAAATGAAGTTTGACTGTTCCTTAATATGTTGGCAAAAATATTTGAAATTCCTTACTTGTTTTGTAGCAACTGTCAATGCCTGATTCTCAATTTTTGAACTTCCGATTGAGTTTCAAACTCAAAATATATTCAAATTTTATTTCCAAAGTTGACATGTCTTCATTTTTAATAAATGTCACCAGGGTCATCGTCTGAATAGGTTCCCTGCCTTACCCTGCCCCTCCTGCTGTACATGTAAATTGTTCAGGATATACACACATTACATGTGCGGCTATTAGGAATGTAAAAATACAGATGCGGTTGTTCTAATGTAAATTACCGATGCGATTTTTAAGGATGTAAAAATCAAGGAGGTAATTTTAGATTCGATTGATAGGGATTTAAAATATAAAAAAGAAGTTTTCAGATGCCATTGTTGTTAGGGATGTAAAATACAAGAATGTAATTTTCAGATACCATTCTTGTTAGGGATGTAAAATACATAGAGGATATTTGTTTGTTTGTGTGTAAGATGAAATTTTATTTCATCGAGTGAGCTTTACAAACAGTATTCTCACGAGTGGCGTACAGCAAACAAACAAATTATTTTTATTTCATTCTTAAAAACAAGTTTAAATGAAATTTCCTCAATATTAACTTTAATTTCAAAATCTGTTTTCCGCACTGGTAGCCTCAATTTTGTCGACTAACAAAAAGTCTTGAGCTGAAAAAAGTTCAAAAATGAACGTAAATGGCGATGATATAATTTATTTTATTCCAAAAACATGAATGATCCCTTGCTTTAAAAATAAAAACAAATACGTCTAGTAGAAGAAAACGAATACTAGCTGAGGAAGTGCGATAAGAAACGTAAAAAAAGAAATTTGATAACAATGTTAGCGAACTTGTAATGACATGAGATTGAGTGGTTATTTAAACATGTACATAACTTATCAATTTAGATAACGCCATATTTTTTACTTGCTATAGATTAAACACTATGTTTAAATATCTTAAATTTTAAAAATTTGAGTTGTAATCCATAAATGATAAAATGTGGGTGTTTGGATATAAGCTAGAATGAAGGTATATTAATTTTTATCCATACTTAAATATTTAGATATTAGTTTTCTGAAATTAACAGTACACTTAATGGCAAAAGAAAGCATGGACTGGAAAACGTTTACGAATTTTTCAATTTGTCTTATTAAATGGAATGTACGGTGGCACAGACGTGACATGTGTGTGTGTTTTTATCACATCGTAGTCACGAGGTAATTAAGTGGTGCGTACGAGATACTTTGTCGTGGCCATGAGTTACTAAGTCGTGGCCACGAGATTATTAAGTGGTGCGCACGAGATACCTTGTCGTGTTAATGCGTTACTAAGTCGTGGCCACGAGATACTTAAGTGGTGTGCACGAGATACTATGTCATGGCTACGAGTTACTTAGTCGTGGCCACGAGTTACTAAGTCGTGGCCACGAGATAATTAAGTGATGCGCATGAGATACTATGTCATGGCCACGGGTTTCTAATTCGTGGCCACGAGGTAATTAAGTGAAGCGTACGAGATACTTTGTTGTAGCAACGAATTACTAAGTCGTTGTCGCGAGATAATAAAGTGATGCGCATGAGATACTATGTCGTGGCCACGAATTACTAAGTTGTGGCCACGAGTTTGTTAGTCGTGGCAACGAGATAACTAAGTGGTGCGCAAGAGATACTACTTAGTCGTGGCTGAGAGATTATTTAGTGGTGCGCATGAGATACTATGCCATTGCCACGAGTTTCTAAGTCGTGACCACGAGGTAATTAAGTGGTGTGTACGAGACACTTTGTCGTAGCAACGAATTACTAAGAAAATTAACTGATACGCATGAGATACTATGTCGTGGCCAGGAGTTACTAAGTCGTGGCCACGAGTTGCTAAGTCGTGGCCACGAGAAAACTAAGTGTGCGCAAGAGATACTATGCCGTGGTCACGAGTTACTTAGTCGTGGCCACGAGATTATTAAGTGGTGCGCACGAGATACTATGTCGTGTTAACGTGTTACGTAGTCGTGGCCACGAGATACTTAAGTGGTGTGCACGAGATACTATGTCGTGGCTACGAGCTACTTAGTCGTGGCCACGATATACTATGTCATTGCTACGAATTACTTAGTCGTAGGAACGAGATAATTTAGTCGTGCACACGAGATAATCAGCCAATCAGAATACTCTCCCTATAGCTGAGTTTTTAAACTTTAGAATATTCCTTTTACATGCAACGTTAATCTTTGAAATAACTGAAGATAACCACTTTATATTTGATATGTGCCTTTAGGATCATATTAGGAAGTCACCCTTTCAAGGCCTATAAATCAGACAATAATTTTGACTAAGTTATGGCCCTTTTGGGGACAATTCGGTAATAAAATTGGTCAGTTTGTACGTACTACGGCCTGTTAACATTGTTTATACGATAACTTGAGAAGGAATAAGTCCTGGTTTACCTTACTTGGTAGAGACATTGCCAGCCTATAAGGATGTTTGAGGTTGCATGAATAGCGTTAAGAATTTGGATGACATAAAAAGAAAGATGGGCTAAAATAAATAGATAAAACATTGCGTGTTTAAATAAAAAAACGGGATTATCAAGCTATTGTTTTCGATTGCAAAATAAATAAATAAATAAAAAATACAATCAAAGGCTCGATTGAAATAAATGAGAAATATACTGTATACTAAGGTTTTACTGAAAAATTTATGTTAAAAGATGAATAAAATAACACTGAGAGTTCAACTAAAATAAGAAAATATCGAGATGGGATTAAACGCGAGATATAATGGTGGCGTTGTTTGACCGATATAACTTAGATACGAATGCTATTTTGAGAGTACACTATATACAGTATTTTATCATTCTGAAAATACGAAAAGAAAACCCCAACATTACCTTCCTAGTAGTTTATACGAAATTCTAACCTTTATATATACATACTAAGATTTTTTTTAAATCCCTAACCGTGACACTTCATGTGAAATTCTTGTCTGATGAATAATTTAGAAGGAACAAACCATGGAAAGATCATTGCATCTGATCAGTAGATGACCCCTTATAATTTTGAGGTCATTGGGTCAAAAATCAAGGTCTCAATGACGTAAAATGTAAAATCACAGTTCAATCAATAACGTGTATAAATGGCACTTCGACTGGTGGGTGAAGTAGGGGCACACCTTGTCCTATATATATTGCACATTTCTATTTAACTAGGAAAATTCATATAAAAGTGTAATCGGATTGATTAATTATTTCGTGCTCACTACTTATATTGTTCCACCGACTAAGTAACTCGTGGCCACGACATAGCATCTCGTGCGCACCACTTAAGTATCTCTAGGCCACCACTTAATAACTTTTGGCCACGACATAATATCTCGTGCGCACGACTTAATAATCGCGTGCGCACGACTCAATTATCTGGTTCCACCGACTTAGTCGTGGTCACGACATAGTATCTCGTGCTTAACACTTAATTATCTCATGGACACGATTTAATAACTCGTGGCCACGACATAGTATCTCGTGTACACCAGTTTAATAATAACACACATGTCAACTCTGTACCACCTTAATAATGCGCCTTAAATTGTACTTAATTTGTGACATGAAGTGTTTTGACAAAATGTATGTCTTTTACGTTTTAAATTGAAATGATTTCGTATTAACTGTTTATTACTTTACCTTAATTATAGACCTCATATAAATGGCAAGCCTTGAAGAATCTATGTTCTCGAGTGACGATGCGGGTTCCCAGCATGTGAGTTCTCTGAATAAGGACGAAGAAGGATTTATTAAACATATCCGGGAATATGACGTAAGTTAATTTTTCCTGATTCATCAGTCACAAATTCTTTTTTTCATTTTAAAGTTAAGAACTTTTAAAAAAAATATCACATTTAAGTGCTTTTGAGAATAAGAAAAATGGTGCCTTTCACAAACCATATATACATACAAGATTAAGTAATTTTGTCAAAATATGGTTTTACTGACCAAATGTAAAATAAGTTGATTTCTCATCCGACATAACTTGCATTCATTGACAGATTTAAATGTTTTGTTTTGTTTCTTATAAAAAAAAATTATGTTTAGCGTGGCACCATTACAGTAAATGTCATATGACGACTACCAAGCTTTACTGGTGGCGATAGACCTCAGGTGCCCCTCCTTAAGCCAAGAGTTGGCGCCTGAATAGAACCACCGACGACTTAAATGTTTGTGTTTCAACATACATATGCTAACATATCACTTTACTCTAAGACTTGAGCATTTTTTGTAGAATTTTCGGTCCTTTATTGACAATGATGAATTGAAAGCGGAAATAGAGACAGACTCTTTACGTGGCCTTAACAGATACATCAAAATACACTTTAAAGAATGGAAAGACAAAAAACTGGTTGTTGGAGTAACTGGACACACTGGCTCAGGAAAATCTAGTCTGATCAATACACTGAGAGGATTAAAAGCAAAGGACGAGGGTGCAGCTGCTGTAGGAGTCACGGAAACTACAAAAGATATTAAATCATACGTTTACCCGGGAAACGATTCTATCATTCTCAGAGATTTCCCAGGGGTTGGGACAAAAAACTTTCCAAAAGAAGAGTATTTACAGAAAACCAAAATTCTGGATTCAAGCGTGGTGCTCATTGTTAGCTGCACACGATTCTCTGAAACTGATTTGTGGATAGCTGAGAAGGTAATTGCCGTTCAACGAAATGTTCTTTTCGTTCGATCAAAAATCGATATTGATTTAGCTAACTCGGAAGCCGATGATCCAGATAACTTCAGCGAATATACATGCATGGAAAATATCAAAACAGACATTAAAGACAATTTGAAAAGTTCTTATCTAGATCCACAATTATACTTTGATGCCATTTTTCTAGTAAGTTCTAGACATAGAACAAAATATGACATCCTATCCCTGGAGAGAAAGGTGATTAGTCTTCTTAGTATGAAAACTGAAGCCATCTGCCATCTTTTGTTCAAACAAATGGAGGAAGCCATAAATAATAAAACAAAGACTATTAAAAAAGAATTCTTGGGAAGAAAGGTTGCGTCAGTAGTAACCGGCTTCTTACCAATTCCAAAACTCGAATCAACGATTGACACGTACCATGTTAAGAAAATAATCGAGGAATGTGAAGTAAAATATTGTGTTGATAGAGACTCTATCACTGAATTTGCTGGAGAAATAAACATGTCGGAGAGTGAAATTCAAAGTCGAATGAAATCATGTGATGAAAGAGTGAGAGATGAAAATCAATTATATACAGAAACGGAAGACAAAAAATGGATTTTTGTGCAGAAGTATTCCAAGTATACGTTTCCTGGCCTCGGCATGCTTTTCTCCGCTTACAAGTCTCCTCGTACAATGCAAGAATGTCTAGACAAGATTTGCGATGTCATGGCCGATGACGAATTGATGTTGGTTAAACTTAGATTGAGAAAACTTGAAAAAGATCTAAAAAGTTAAAACACAAGACAAGACTTGCAATGGCCCAATTCAAGTTGATAATGAACATAAATTTAGATAACTTGAAAAATATTTCACAGTGTCTATTGCCGCGTGATCAGGGTGTGTTGTGCTTGTTAAAAGTTCATTGTAAATTAAACAGAAAACAACATTGATTTTGACTGGCTGACTAAAATACAATTTTTACAAAAATACATAGCATGCGTAAAGCATTGCAAACGAAGTTTGTTAACATCATTTGGCGGTAATCGTATTCGTAGAACTGTATTCGTATTTATTTGCGACAATCACTAAGGATTTATGTCATATACGGAACGTCAAGTTGGGTAACTCAAGTGTTTCTTAAGGATCTGACATAGTTTGATAATCGATGTGTTAATGAGATAAAACGGACACAAAGTAATAGACAATTAAGGATTTTGTGGTAAACGTGATAAAACTGTTTCACTTGGTTTTCGTTCGACAGAAATTTAATACACTTAAACGACTCAATAGGTAATGATTTATGTATGCCAAAGATGTATTAATGTGAGTTAAATGTTGTTGATTTTTTATAAGTATATTTGTTACAGATAATGGATAGAGTAAATTTAAGTTTGCTCTTTTTTCATTCAAAATATTTACAATGCTTCAGAATACACCTATCCTAAGTTCACTATGCAAAGAGAGGTTTTCTATGGAATCAATTTTTATTTACACTTATCTGTTTCAAGTGTCATCAAAGAAAAAATTCGCGTTTCATACTCGAAATTAAAAACAAATCACAAAAACATCAACAAAATAACGTTGCTACTTTAATTGTGTATTTACATGGGGCATGGCGTGTGAGTATTATAATATCGAAGTATATTTGAGATTTATATTTAAAAAATGTGATATAATTTGTAGTTATAAATAAATACTGTGACATTTGGTTTCAACTGCTTACGATATTGGTATGTGTAAGACCGCCATAACGTCATGAAATTGAAATGAAAAGACTATGGTATTAGAATGAATTGTTAATGCACCGTTTACAATACAATACAATATGAGTCAGATAAGATTATCCCACTAGCTTATTATCTAAGATCATATCAGAATTTTATATAAATCATTTTATGTATCGTAAAACGTGTATTTGTGTTAAAAGTCTGTGAAATAAATATTTATTGTATGAGTGTAGGTTAATACTGAATTTATCGAACGAGTTGAATAAAATTATAAATCAAAATGTTATTTCGTTACCTACACCCAGTATTACTCAATCATGATTAAAATATTAATCCTGTAATAAATATTTTAAAAATTGTGCTCAACATTTTTTTTTTTGGTTTTTGAATGTCATTTAGCATCATGATATAAATTTTCTTAACATCTTTGTGATTTTGATCCAGTAATTAATAACGCATGTTAACAAAGAGTCCCTAGTCTGCAAAATTACACCTAGTTCTGATTCACAGAAATGAAAATGAGTATTTTCACGCTTCTTTACTTCGGCAAAACCCTAGATTTCACATCCGTAACATATTATGTCTAATAACAAATATTAGAGAGATACGTACAAAACAAGCGGCAATGCTTTATCGACCACCATCTCGTGACTTAGCAATAGCATGTGGTGTTTATAAACATGTACACGTATATCTACGTTCTATATATCGATGATAGAATAACATAGACGACAGTGCTTAATGACATCCAGCGTCCCCTGGCTTTCTTCCATACTTTATTAACATATGATCAAATTAGTCATGATATATCATTAAATCATTTTTTATCTTAGAATCAAGATTTTCACTGAAAATATATTAAGTAGATGTCCTGTTTTAAAAATTGAAACAACCTAGCTCTGTTTTTGAATAGATTATTATTATGTTTAGTTAGATCTTTGAATCATCCGCTGCTGTATTCATACGTCGGTCATGGACCATTCAATGTGGCGATTTCGTTCCATTGCATGGAAAGCGACTTATCGTCCAAAAGTAAAAGAATATTTGTGCAAAGTAAAGGGTATCAAGGGCCATGAAGCATGTCCATGAAGGCAACTGCCAAAAGATTAATTTAAATAAGCATCATTTTCTAAAGGTACCACCAAATAATAAAAATATACAATGTTCGGACAACCTTTAACTACAACATCCACAAGCCTGCAATGTCATGGCGGAAATGTATGGAATGCAAAATTTACATTCTGTAAACATATTTGAAAAGGTCTCGAAACAAAAAATCTCTGTTTCAATTAGAGATATCTTCATACAGTTATAGCGCGCAAAACTATAATAGAGAGGTCTTTAAATAATTCAAATTTAAATTTATTTGTAGTGCGTTATAAATCAATAACAGAGGACTTCAAATCAACTTGGCACCTTTTCAAGTCAACTACAGAGCTGTTAAAACAGTTGAAATACAGCCTATTTTTTGCAATAGATTGGAAAGTAGTTCAAGTCATTTAGTGCGCGCTTAAGGTCACTATCTAAGGCACATATATCAGACATTGATTTTGACTAAGTTATGGCCCTTTGTGGGGACCATCCTGTGATAAGGTTTATCATTATGTACGTACTAACAGCTTTTAAACCATGTCCATACGATAACTTGAGAAGTATAAGCCCTGGTTTATTTTATTTGGTATGGACATGTCCCATGGCCAGTAGATGACCTATATACCTGTTCAAATGTCAAGGTAAGCGTGACACTTATGTAAAATCCTTGTGCGATTAAAACATTTAAAAGGAATAAGCCATGGTTTATATAACTGAGTATGGACATTGCACCTGATCACTAGAAATCCTTGTGTTATTAAAAAATTGAGAAGGAATAAGTCGTGGTTTATATAACCGAGTATGGACATTGCACTTGAAATTTGATTTTTTTATATGACAACACAGATGAAGTTATCGCTGCACCAAAGCCCGTTCGAACAGTAGAAGGAGATAAAGTGAACTCAAACAGACATTTAAGTGTAAACTTAGTTCAATATAATAACAGTTCTGCTTGTTCTGATTTGTTTGTTTGTTTTCTGTCTGTTTGAACGGTATTTTTGTCATAACGTTTATTAATAATTTGATTTGTTACTGAATCCTTAGAATTTATATACATTTTTATAGATCATTTTACTATGTCTATCGTCCCTTTCAATTTTCATTCTACTAGTGTTGTTTTTAAATACATGAGAGTAATAACTGTGTGCAAGATAATTCCTACTTTTTTGAAAACCCGGATAAGCTGAAAATAACTTGTGAGTATATAAAATATAATGCTTTTTATAGAAGAAACTATGTTTTCCAATAAATTTACAGTTATATCAAGTTATAAAGCATTTTTAAAAAGATATAGAAAAGAAAATTTATTCTGAATTGAATGGTTAATTCAACTTTAGTCATGGAAAATCAATTGCCAAGGGTGTAGCAATTTTATTCAGAAAGAATATTAGTATCAAAATTGATTCAGTTAAAACTACGAAAGTGTCCTGGTGCCAATTCATAATGTTCTATAAAAATATAAAACATAATTAGAAGTTTATAACTCCTACGTAGTTCAATATTCTATTATAAGTTGTTACATCAAACAAATCATAGCACAAAAATGTTTATGAAACTATGGTACCAACATGTCAAGAAAAATAAAGATATACCATATATTGGCAGTTTACACATGTTTATATATTTAAGTGTACTAAAGATTCATATATACAACGGCATCAGACAAGAATTATTCACAATTTGGCAACAAACTCTCTTTTGTTTAAAATGAAAATAGTTAATTCTGAAATATGCACCTTTTGTGAATGTCAAGAAGAAACACTTCTACATTTATTTTGGGAATGCAATAAGATTTAGCCAATATTTCAGTTTCTGAAAGAAAATATACTAGAACATAACTTTTGATACTTGTTGAATGGTAAATATTTTATTCTAGGCTGTGAAATAGATTAACGATTATAGACATTTTTACGCTACGATATTTCCGTAGTAACAGAAGAAGCATTTCACGCATGCGCATTCTGTGCACAAAATAAAAAACAACAACAACAAAAAACAACAACAAAACAATCACAAACGAATAGATTATATCAGTTATCAACAACTTCATAAAGATTTTGATGTAATCAGAAAAATTGATCGTAAGTTTAGAATAATTTATATTGATAAATAACCGTAAAAGGTGTACGAAGGTTTGTTTGTTGCATTTTAAAGCACTCAGCTCATAAATTAGAGGTCTTGAAGACGAAATTTTATGGGCAATATTCTCTTTCTATTCTCATACTTTAATACTTTTAAATAAATGAACGCGATTTCATGTAATGTCGTCCGGAAAACAGTTATAAATTTTGAAATGACTAAGTAAGTATGGTAAGTATTTTAAAAGACAGACAGACAGAAAGACAAATAACTTTATTTCACTCAGGTATATCAAAGTATACAGCATGAGCGTTATCAATATACATGTATTGTAGCTATAATGGTATAAAAACCAGCTGGTCTAAAACATAAATTATACAATATATACATGAGTATCCATCAGAACTTTTAACACGGATGCTCCTCCACACACATAACATACATACATGCATGTATATTGTTTATCATCACTTAATATAGAACAAAGAATGCAGAGCCAATATGACCTGTCAGTGGAAAAATAACAAAAATAGAAAGAAACAAATCAAAATATAAGATAATGTTCGCACAAAGGTGCGCCGTTGCATTCTAAGTAGTAAATCTAAAAATAAAAGTGAATTGATATTTTTAACAGATATAAGAAAATATGCGGGAATAATTATTCAATTATCACAAACCGCATGCACAAGTGCTCTCTTTAAAATATCTTTAGACGACATTTTCATTAGTAATTTAATTTGAAACAGCAGGGTGTTGAAAAAAAATTGTTACCCCTGTATTACATCACATTAATCAATTGAGACTGGTTCATTGCAACGGACCGCGTCGTAAAAAGGTATTTGATATCTTATTCCTAGAATTGAAAAGATATAATTTCGAAATGTACTTATATTTTATATTTATCTTAGCGAAAAAATCATTAAAATTATAACCAACTTGTACTGGGTTAAGAAAATGCTTGAAATTAGCTTTGATTATATATAAAAATACAAATTTGACAAAAGAAGAAATCAATAGACGGGCAATTATTAAATTTCTTATTGCATAACTTGTATAACTATATCCCAATTGGATAATTCCTCTCGTACATTATATTCTTTTTTCAGATGCTATTTTTGCATTTCTTTCTTTCTTTCTTTTTATAAACAAAATAAATGATATAAATATTAATCCTATCAATTAATTATTATTAATACTGTGTTAACTTTAAATCTTTATGATATGTCATTCAATGTCCTAGAGAAGATCTCTGTGATGAAAGGCGGCATTAGAAGACCTTCGGTACAGGCTCTACGACCAGCGACGTAACAGAGGAAGGTTATATGGCAAAGCCGGCGCCCAGTATAAATAAAATTAAAACACACACACACACACAAGTACGCACGCATGCACGCGCACGCACGCACCCACACACAATAAATATTTTCAATTATACAATTTATATTTTCAAATATAGAACATATATAGAGAAAATTATCGCACACAAATGTTGTCTATGATGAACAAATATTCAGTAGGATTGAATAAATATTATGGTATAGAATTTTAAATAAGAGTTAAACAATATAAATATTGAATATAGACCAAAAAGTAGATCTATTGAATTTGCAACGTTTAACATGCCATAATTACGTATCAAGTTACCGAAAGGTATTGTATCTTAAGACGCATGAATAATTTTATTTCTATCTGCTAACCGTAAACATTTTAGTTGTAAATATTACAGACTTGTTCGTTTAGGATGTAAACAGGTGCACATTGAGATGTAGATATAGCTTGCTTGGTTGTTTAGGATGTATAAAATACCGGAGCAACTTTAAATGTAAATATTACAGACTTGGTTGTTTGGGATGTAAACGTTTTAGGTGCGACTTGAAATATAGATATAACAGACTTGGATGTTTGGCACGTAAACATAACAGGTGCCATTTAAATTGTAAGTATAATAGACTTGGTTGTTTGACATGTAAACATCACAGGTGCGATCACATAATATTTCTTTTCCATGAAAATTTTGGTGATAAACTATCGTCTGTAACATTTGAATTAATAGTTCGCTCAAACCGTATTTCCGATAAATACATTAAAAGTCAGGAATATATCCTTGTGTTTTATT